CCATCGTGAAAAAAGCCAAAAAAAAAAGATTCCAAGAATTCTTATTTTACTTTTTTGAAAAAAATTTAAATTTTTTTTTTTTTTTAATATTTTGGGGAAAATATTTATTAAAAAATTAGTGGAAAACAAAACTTTTTTTTTTAATTTTTTGAAAAAAATATTTTGGGTAAATTTTTTGAGAACATCATTTTGAAAAATTAGTTTTTAGAAAAAAACATTTTATCGAAAAATTTAAAAACATGCATAAAAAACTTTTTTAGAAAAACATTTTTTAGATTTCTTTTTCAAAAAATTTAGAAAAAAAAATCTTTAGAAAAAAAGTTTTTTAAAAATTTTTAGAAAAAAGTTTTTTCAAAAATCTTTAGGAAAAACGCTTTTTAAAAAATCTTTAGAAAAAAAGGTTTTTAAAAAATCGTTAGAAAAAAAGATTTTTAAAAAATCTTTAGAAAAAAGTTTTTTTTTAAATATTTAAATATAAGTTTTTAAAATTTTTTTTTGAAATTCATAAAAAAAATTGAAAAATGTTTAGAAAATAATTTTTTGTTTAAGTTTTTTGCATAATGTTTTTGTCCAAATGTGAACTTTTTGTGTCATTTTTGGTCAAAAATTACAAGGTTTTGACAAATACTTTTGGAAAAAAAAAATTCTGAATTTTTTATGAAATTTCAAATTTTGTGTTGTGATCAGACAGTGAAAGATTTTGATGAACATTTAAAAAAAAATCTGCATGTTTCTTATCAAATTAGAGTATTTTGAGAAATCTTTAGGAACATTTTTTTTCCTGGATTTTTTTTTAAAAAAAATTCAATTTCGCATGTTGTGGTCAGACAGGGAAAAAGTTTGATGAAAACCATTGAAAATAAATTCTAAATTTTGTCTTTTCTGCATGGATCTCATCAAATTAGAACATTTTGGGAAAATTTTTTCACAAATTTTGTGTCATGTGGTTAGACAGTGAAAATTTTTGATTAAAAAGTCTAATCGCAGACCCTATTTACTTAATTTCTGCCTACACTGCAAAACTAGCTTTTATATTAAATTTGATGATGGTTAAGCCAGTCTGATGCTTAACAGCTCACTAACAAATGCTTAAATGAAAAAGTCTTCTGGTCTCTAAGGTAAATCTCTGTACATCATTTCACGTGTCAACATCTCCCTCTTGTGGAGTCTACAAGCAATAGCAGAAATTATACATTACCTAATCAGAATGATGACAGATGGAGTCTGGGCCATAGCTCCAATCATGCTGCACACACAGATCACACACAGGAAGGTGAGAAAGGCCTGCTGACAGCCTGGACTGGGGCACTTTCCTGGTAATGCCACTGCATCCTCAGTGTTAGCGGATATACACAAACAGCTGGTCAGGTTCTGGCACAGAGACAGGAGGGAGAGTAGGATTTAGTTTCTGTGGGCAAAGACTGCTGTGGACAATCGGTGTGTTTAGCAAACATCATGACAATGTTTTGTTTTTTTTAATGATAATATTAAAGTCTCCACTCACTGGTTTGGTGCAGCCAGCGAAGCAGGCTGAGAGGTAGGTGACACCGTTGGACCCACAGACAGGACTCACAGACGCTGTGTAGCAGTTACATGTACTGATACAGGGCGGCTCGGGTCTCTGGGAGGTCTGTAGTGTCCTGTGGAGTGGGTCATAAGTTAAAAAAATAATTAATTGAAAAGCCAAAAAAAAAAAACTGCATAAACATGGTGTTCATCTAACGACTGGGAATTCAACCTTTAACATAGATAGGAAATTATGTGTATATATATATATATATATATATACATATATATATATATATATATATATATACATACATATATATATGCATGTTTATATTTATGTGATGTGAAGGCTTCCTGTTGACAGCATTAGAATGAGGCAAAACAGAAAAAAGAGGCCGCAATTTACTGAAGCCCAAATGTCTGCTACATTTAGATAATAGGATCATCGTTTGGCAAAGACAACATAAAAAGCGTAGCTCCAACCCACCTCTGATGTGAAGTAAATAATCCGAGCTGTGTATATAGCTGCTGACTATGTGCATGCTTTCAGGCCACAGTGTACCCATCACAAAGGTCACGCTATCTCAAAGTGCATTGATTATTCAGTTCCTGCAGATGAGCCACAGTGCATTGGACCTGCGTTACGACTCCTGTTATTTGAAGTCTCCTAAAACATGGCAGGCGTATACAGTAGAGGGAGCAGGGAGTATCCAAACATCAGGGAAAATACTCTTCGGGGTGAGCTGCCAAGACTTAAATGAGATGGCTGCTTTCACTCTATATGCTGAGCTATGCTAACTGTCTGCTGGCTTAAACTTATTTACCAGAGAGACATGAAAGTGTTATTGATCTCCTCATCTACTTCTTGGCAAGACAGGGGGAGCAGAGTATTTTCCAACATATCCACATATTCCTGTAAATGTGGCAATAACAGCAGTTTTTAAGCCATGGTTTGCACTTTAAATATAAATGAATGCCTCGTAGCTTCAAACCACTGTCAAAATCATTACGTGCTGCTGATGTCAGCTGTTTATACAATAGAGGGCCATTCAGCAGTTTTACAGCATTAAAAACTTCTTGACCTGCTGCCCTGTGATTCTGGGAAATAAACAAATGCTCATGTAGTTTGCTGGAGTTGACAATATTCTTAGAATTCATCCTTTATTCATGAGAGTAACTGTAGAATGTGTGGATGTATATTTTTCCTTTTCTGAAACCATGATATCTACTGTATCTTATATCCATCCGGTGTTATTCATCCCTGTGACAAAACAAGGTCGTGTGTCTGTGAGTACGGCGAATGGATGATCGCCAATGGAAAGATTTGAGAAAAAAGAAAAGAAAGGGACATTTATGTTTCTAATAGTTTCTACAGGAGTAGAGAAAAGGCAACATGGGAAGATTGTACCTCATTTCCAATGTGGGGATAGTGTTCTTTGGGTGATACAGTTACTCTTTTCTTTTTCTTCAAATATAGGCCACTTCTCTGTGCATATAGATATTTTTGTTTTGTCTCATTTGACAGAAATATTTCTTTTCGCCACTCAGAAATGAGGGTTTTCTCTCTCCCACCTGTTCAGTGAATTTGTGCTATTGGAATAAAACGGATCTGTTTCTCTTCATTCTTACTCATTGCCGTAAGCCACGGTCACTCCAGCCACAGGTCCTGTGTCACAGCCCAAGAAGAGAAATGATACGTAGCAGGCAGTGGACACCAGGTTGACCAGCATGGCCATACGCACAGCACCCAGAGCTGAGAGGTTCAGCTTCTTAACCAGCAGCCCCCCCAGGAAGATTCCCAGACAGGCACAGGGGATCGCCGTCATACCTGGAGGAGAACGACACAAATGTTTACCCTTCTGTAAACATCCCTCTGAAGTAATCCTAATCTCCCTTATCTGCTGTGATGAAATCCTGCCTGCCTACCCAGCAGCTGGTTGGCTGATGAGGTGGTAAGGTTAAACTGTTGCTCCAGGTACTTCCCCAGGAAGGCAGCAAAGCCGGCTACCACCGCTATCTCCATGCAGGCCGCCAGTGTGATGCACGTGAACACTGGATTAGACAGTAGATGTCTGGTAACCCGTGGGATTACTGAGTGAGAGAAGTGGAAATGGGTTAAAAAAAACCAATACATTCTGAGCCTTTATAAATATATAAAAAAATCCTCCCATGATTCAGCTTTTGTTTGGTTTTACCTCTCAGATGGTCACAGACTGAAAGTCCGCTGTTAAAATCAAAAAAGGTCCCATTGGGTTTGGAGCCTTGGAAGTCCATGGATATGGAAGGAGGCAGCATCGCCTGCTCACTCTCCCCTCCACTGTTCATGTCCTGCTCATCCAGCGCCTGGGGGAAGCCGAACATGAAGAGGGCAGACAGGAAGAGTAAGGCACCACAGAGCAGGAAGCCGGCCCACCACGCCCCGATCCAGCGAGGGTCATCTGGGGTGATGTCCAGTTTACCTGAACAGAGGGAGTAGGTGAATTTAACCACTGCTATTTGAAAGCAACATCTGAAGGCAATAAGTCAGAGTCTTTATATAAATCATGAGCTGCTGTTACGGTCATCTTAAACTGTCCAAAAGATCATTTTGAGAGAGAGAGAGAGAAAAAAAGATCAACTCACTGGTGTCGATGAAGACTGCATCAACATAGACTTTGGTACAGACAGAACCTAAGATGAAGCCACAGGCCGGTCCGAACACGAGAGTTGAAAATAAAATACCTGTGTAAAAAACAGAGGAAAGAATATAAAATGTTAGTTGGGAATTAATTCAATGTATGGTGTTAATTTTAAAAATATCACTTCTATTTTCCCATTCGGCTGTACTCAGTCAATGTGTTTTCTATAGTACGTCAGTAGAGGGCAGTATTGTGTAAAAAATGCTATGACTTATGAGACTCGTCTATAATTTTCCAACTTGAGCTGCAGTATAATTCACGAAGAACACACTAAAAAAACAGCATTCAATTACTCAAAAACACGTTAAATCTATATATATTAAGTATATATATATATATATGTGTTACAGATACTATAAAATATACACAGGTCACAGGTAAGATGTAAATAACTCAAGTGACTTATATTAAGTATATATATATATATATGTTACAGATACTATTAAATATACACAGGTCACAGGTAACATGTAAATAACTCAGCAACAATCAGGTCAGTTCAAGGTGAAGATCTGGACAAGCAGGTGATTAGGTCTCCTCTGTTAGATGTTAGATCTAGACGATCTAGAACATGAAGAGCATCTGAATATATGATAGATGAAAGAAATAAATTAAAAATGTATTAAAACTGATCCACGTGGAAACGAGAGGAGGCTAAAACTGAAGTCAGGCGTCCACACTTCCTGGTCTCACTTGGGAGACAAGCAACAAAAAGATGACCGGTCTAATTCCATATAAAGATTATTGGTGTTGAACAGTTCATGTCAAAGGAACTGGAAAAGGAATGTGCAAAAGCCTTCTGCACTTCAGAACACTGGTGTGGTAAAATTTACAGTACGGATGAGATCCAACTGGGTTCTATTTTAGGAAGGACTTTGTACAGAGTTCATGTGAGAGGACTTTCAATTTCACCAGATGTCTCCCACTGACAGATTTAGTCACCGGCAGCGTAATATGCAGCTCTTAGGCTGCACAGGTTAATTGATCTAAGACTAGATTATCCCGTGGGATCATAAATAATCAAGCAGGAAATGGGTTTTTAGTGTAGGAGCAGCCGGTACGGCAGTGACACAGCAGCCACAGTTTACTTTATTTCTATAAAAAGATCCTCAGCTTTGGTCCAAAGACTAAAAGCAACGTTGGAAACAGCCATAAGATCACTTTCTAGTTTAGCTACATTATAGCCAGGAATAAATTATACAGCAGTTCCCCTGGATCATTATTTCAAGCAGTAAAGTACACTGTAAATACCAGCACTGTGTGACCAGGCAGAGGACGTCTTTTTGTCATGTAACTGTCCTACAGACCAGTAACCACTGTACTGTACATGACGTGGTCTACATGAATAACTCCAGCATTCAAATTAGTCATGAATAAAAACAGAATTGTTTTTCATTTTAATTTAACTTGATTAATCAGTTCTAATGGATTGGTATACGTTTCTTTGAGCATGTATTAATAATCCTTGTTCTTCATGGCGGTAGTTGCGATATAAGTCAGCCTGTTTGGTCTTATAATGTCACAACGCTGAACAGTATCATCCATAGGGTCCTGTATCACATCACGCGGTACATTATGATCCCCCAGTGGACAGATGTACGATTATACATCACTCACATCCGGTATTACTGTTACACTGTTAGTGTGACCCTGCCACATGGTCAAGGCTGAATGAAAAACTTTACTCACGCTCAGAGATGATAGATGATGAAACACATTGTCATTGGGGTCAAATACCGTATAAAAAAGTGTAATGTTGCGGAATATTTTATTTTATCTATTTATATTTAAGATATACTTAAACAAAACACATGCATATCTTTAAATCACTGGCTGAGTAAAAAAATGATATTTATTAATTTATATATGTACACACATGTTCTCATTCATGTATCTGTTCATATATGAGCAGCCGTATGTACTGGTATCATTAGCATCGCAGAGCGCAGCAGAGACAAGGTCATGCTGCTCCGCCTGCTCACCTGCCAGCCTATAAATAATTCCTCACTCAGACTCACATTATGGCAATATTCAATCACCGGTTCTTTGTATCCTGGCAAAGGTGCTCCTAAAAAGGTGCACCCATAAAACAACCTGGGCCGGACCTAACGGACAGTGTGCTGAGTCAGCGTCCATTTTTGCCTGTGCTGTCCTACAAAGGAAGAGTAATCGCTGCACTGGAGTGAGAGCGTTTTGCTGCAGAGGTCTGAGGACGTGCAGCCTCGCAGCGTCTCATTATAAGCATTACAGTGATGAAAACAAAGCTGGAAGAGATGCTGACCCGCAGTTAATACAGCTCATCTGGTACAACACCGCTGTGAACCGTGTTGTCCTTGTATCACTGCAGCAGGTATTAGACGTTTCTATTTCCACGGGTGAGAAAACATTCACAGACAGGGCAGGAGGAAGTGTTTCAATAAAAACAAAAACAAAAAAAAAACCAAAACAAACACAAGTATATAAAGGTCCAAAAACAAAACAAACACAAGTATATAAAGGTCTATAAAAGAGATGGACAGATGCATTTCTGAAGCTTTTTAAAAAAAATTGCAGCTCTATTGTAGTACCCGAACCAGACAACAAGGTCACTGTTTTACACAAGACAATCACAGCGACACAAATGTATACTCAGACCGACGCCGGTGACAGAGCTGCATTATGTTCGTCCTGGGGCCGGGGCCATTGTGAAAACAATGATGTCACATGTTCTACTGTGTTTGGAGAATGTTACAATTGATTAGTTTCCTACGCCACAGGAAACCACTGGGGACAATATGATCTATTTTCAGCCACATGAAACCGTACCTCCTCAGGAAGAAGCTATATTTAAACGTAACATATACCGTGTCATTGGTTATTCTGGGATGACAGTGAACATGTGAAAGACAGAGCATCTTCACTGAATATAACGATCATTTTAAAAACCAAAAGCAGAACATGTTTCTAAACCCAGTTTTGCAGCAGTATGATGTAAAAGCCTACTGACTTCCTGTGCTGTGCAGGAGAGCGGTTACTGTAAAACACAAGAAGATTTATACTTCCATTAGCCAGATACTAACATTAACAACGTGCAGAACACAGCTGGGACCATATTGTAAAAACAGCCATAGCATAGATTGTTTTAATTGAAAATCTGTTTCTTTTAGAGGCTGCGTGAGAGGTACAATAGAGGAGAGGGGCTTGTTGCTGTTGCCCTGGGCATCAGTCACCAGGCAGACAGCAATCAATAACCTAATTACAATCCACCCTGGACATAAGAGTCAACACAGCTCAGGAGCAGGTGGGTCAGTGTCTGATAAGACTTCTTCTCCTCCTGCTTTTAAGGCGAGTCCCCGCATGTCGCGTAGGTTACATCAGTGTTTCTCGACCTTTTCGGAACCTCTGAACATTTTTTTTATACTAGAGAACAACCAAACAAAAAAAAATCAAAGACAATTATATGTAATGTAAGTTAATGATGATAGTTTGAATTTATCCACAATTTACCAACTGAAACCTGTTCCTGTTTAGTTGAACACATCACTAAAGTTCTCACAGGAATTGAAGAAAAATGACGTATTCTTTCAACAGCCCTCACTCTCTCTATTTTCTTTTTCTTTTTTAAAGCCATCTACTGCCACATGTCACATCAACAGTCTGAGACTATTTTTGCAGTATTTGCAGTAAAAATACAAAAATATAGTGAAATAAATCATCAATCCAAACCTTTGTACTAAACTGTATCTATACAGTAAAATCACTCCAATAAAAGACAGTTTTTTCCCTATTCATATCTTTTACACAAATTTTGTACTAAACTGTATCTATACAGTAAAGTTACTCCAATAAAAAACTGTCTCTATTCTAATTCTATTCGTATCTTTTACACAAATCTGCTCACAGGTCTACAGTACGCACTGGTGAAATGAAATCTGTGTCATGTTTTTGTTGTTCTGTAAAATGCAGTGATAATAGGTGAGTGTTTATATACACAGAGTGAACGCTTCCTCTCACTCCCCTGGAGGCAGACACCTGTTAATGCAGCTTGAGTGCTCTGGTCCATGAGTAGAGTGAAGTAGAGTACAGTATTATTGTGTTATTTAAATCTAATAGTGCATCTCTAAACTTACTTTCAGATAATGTTTTCAGTAATAGATTTAGTAACGGACCCAGTGGATACTCAGCTGCAACAGCTCAAAGAAAAAAATAGCAAATAAATAAATAAAATAAAGTAAAAATCATGCAAATTCCATCATCAAATCAGTGAGTTTTCTTTATTTGTTTTAAGTTTGCCTGAATTGTCATTTGAGAGAAAACAGACTGCAGTAATACAGGAAACAGGATGCAGAGCGGATGCAGGGCAGGTCGTGTGTTATTGTAAATGTCCTGAGTGTCTCATTCAGGCTGTTTTGATAAATGTGAGGTAAAGGAGTGGCCACAACACAACAGCCTCACCCTGCATGAGACACTGAGAGGTTTTTAATATTTAATCATTTGGTTCAGTGTTTGCTAAACACGGCCTAAATGGTTCCCTGTCATGTTGCATTATTTAGAGTGTTTCTGACAATGAACCTGTATCTTCACACTCAAGGATTTTCAGACACAGTCAATGCCCGAGAACAGTGTCAAAAATGGACTTTTCAATTACTTTTGGGTCATCGTGGATGCATTTTTATGCTGGGTTTAGTAGTATTTTACCCTAATAAACTAGTAGTTAAATATGATTGTATTATTGACTAATCTTCTGCCATTCATAACATGATTTTTTTTACTGTATTAATCATTTATTATCAGCTATTGTGAGTATGTGATTCAATATTTTATCTTTCTAGGTGAAAAACACTTATTATTATTATATATAGTATTTGTTGTATAAAAGTCTGACTAAAAACTCCCAAGTTGTGAAATCATTTTTATATTCACTAAAGATTAAAGAACATTAAAGAGCGCAGAAATTTTAAGGTCAAATTGAGAAATTTCAAGGGCTTTTAATTCCAAGTTGCTGCTCATCCCTGACTGCAGAACAACACATACTGTTCTGTTGACACTGTATCAGACTCTTCAAGAAAGTCTGTAGTAAGGAATTAAAAAAATATATACTAGAGATGTTTTGTTTTCCAAAATATTAAGGACAAATTAAATAACTATTTCGACATTTTAATAAAAGATGAATACAATTATTAAGATAAAAATTGAAACTCACTGGTCACTAAGAGCAGTTGTAGTCGTCACTTGGGCGGCTCTATCATATCACACCACTCCTCCTCCACCCTGATTATCATCAATAACTGCATATTCAGTTAGCTGAAGTAAAAATTATTTTATTTTAGATATGAAAAGAAAATAACACACATGCTTGAACACCATCTGCTATGAGTTGGCCCGGAGCCTGGCAGAAGATGAAGCGCAAATTGTGAATTGAGCGCTGTGCTAGCCATTTCTCCTCTCCTCTCCTCCTTTCCTCCTCACCTCTCCTCTCTTTCCTCCCCCTCTCCCTTTACTATTATTGTGCTGTCACAAAATGTTCACAACAAACCGCGGGCCTTCTCACCCTGCAGGAGGCCGACACTACAACACGGAGAAACAACACAACCAGCCAAGAACAAGGAGGTAAAAAGGTTCCACTGCAGATTTGATGCTCCAACACAATAACAACTTATTTATGTGGTTATTTTAACAAACAGGTAGGTTTACAGCATTCATTTTGTAATTAAATATATATATAGATACTTATTATGTTAAAGGAAAACAAGTGAGTTTCTAGGTGGGAAGAGTGGACACAAAGACACGGAGACTGAAAACCTATAGATGAGCTGTTCTTAAAAGACGAAAAATAAATGAGTAATTAGTACAAAACGGTGTAACCTGGATAGGTGTGATCAACCACTAGTTCAGATGTGCCCATCACAAAATAGTTAGCTGCTTTAAGATGAACTGAAGGACCGCTGCATTTGAAATGCAGACAAATGACACACAGCTAACTTTATCTTTAGCCAAACTAACTGGGATCCTTACAGAGGGTAAGACATTTCCTCTGGCCCCGGTGGATAGATATTGAACAGTTGCTGAAGCAGAAAATAGACTCCTCTGATAAACAACTAATCACATTTACATTTATTTGCAATTGCCGCACAGACAATTACCAGCACTTCCACTTCCAGCCCCTATTTAACCTTCGTTTTCAGCCTCTCCATCTGTCCAGATGGAGCTCTGCTTTTAGCTGAGAGAAGATCAGACATCCACATACTCTCTACCGTTGCCTTGGCAACCCTGGCACACGGCCCTCCGTGTGTGTTATGTCACCCTTTGGTGTCTGCTCTGAAGTCCTCTGCTTCTGGACTCCTTCGTAGTTTGCCACAGTGCATCAACATAAACACAGCCACACACAGTAGTCTTAGGTTCCTCAAACAGAAAATGGGCTTTTAAATGTCTTAGTGAGGAGAAAAACCAGTGCGGACGTTCAGAGATGTTCTGATGTCACAAGAGAAAGGACAAAAACAAACTACGTTTCCTTACAGATGATACGTATATGTATACGAAACAAAGAAGTTTTGTCCAAATATTACGAAATTCTTGGTTAGTAAGACTAAACACGTAGCTCCCCTTCCCAGGCTAAAATAAATGGCTAAATAAATGCTAAAATAAAACATTACTTTTTTGGGGGTGGGGGGTGGGGGGGCTTTAAATCTATTCATCAACACAAAGGACTATTTTATTGACTGATCCACACCACATACAGTAATTAACATTATTTATAAACACAGAGCAGCTCAATAATTAGCAGTTAAGAGTCACCAGGCCTGAAACATGTCCTGGATGTTAATGACGCTCAGTGCGAGCACAGCAACCATCATTTTTCTGCTTAATTATGACCGATTATAAAGATTATATCACTAATGTGGTTTTGGTAATCTAATATTGCAATCTTGTAATTCTATTATAATCCTCTTTGTGCGTTACACAGAACTAATAATTAGGTTCACATGTGGGCATCAACGTCACAGTCAATTCCCAAGTTCATCAAAATAATGTTTTAATTGACAAATATTTATTCCGGTTGCTGATATTAAAATATCCTGGGATTCTAATTACTTTCGGAAAAGGATATTTATCCATAAAAGCCGAAGGAGTTGTTGAAGCAGGAAATGCTTTTTCCTTTTTCATGACTAATTTAATAAACGTAATACAATCAGCTACCTTAAGGCCTACATTAAAGTTATTTTGGTTGGTCAACACAAAGGGGCAGGTGGGAATGACAAAGGAATAAATGTTTTTAATGTTTAGTCTTCATCTTGTACTTAATCATTTTCAGGTTCTCAGGAGAAGCTGAAACCAGTCCCAGCAGTCACTGGGCGACGCGGTACATCAGGCTCAGAACAACAGTCCATTAAAGGACCACATTTAACAACAAACGACTCCTTGTTCCCCAGGAATGGGTCGGTCAGTCAAACGTAAAGAACAAACTTCTTTGTTTGTTCGTGTGTACAATGTACTGTACAAGTATGTGCAATGAGCATAAACATGACTCTTCCACTTGTTACTAAAAATGTTACTGTACATCGTCAGGCCACTTCCTGTGAACACTTCCTGTTACCACCATAGATTTCTCTCTTGTTGCAGTAATTATTTGGTTAATTATGATGAACAAACTGATATGATGTGTTCTTAATCTGCAGACAACTGAATGTTTTCTCAGACCTGATTTTCCCAAATGCTTCTCAGAGATGTGATATAAGGTTTAGAAAGTGAAGAAAATCTACGATTCTTTTTTTTTTCAGGAAAGGTTTCGGTGCAGCACACTTCAAAAAGTTGTGAGTTTAAACACCGTGGTGTCATTGAATTGTCCTCCTTTTAGATTTTACTAACAAAAATCATGTCATATAATTTTCCTCTTTTTTTCTTAGTTCTGAAGCAGCACGACAGACTCACCTATGTAAAGTGAGGAGTCCTTCCTGTGGACATGGTCATCGATGTAAGACACTCCCAGAGGCTGCACAGGTGTGGCGCCGATGCCCAACAGGACCTGGGCTCCGATCAACAAAAGGTACATCATGTTAGTGTTTGCTCTGTCGCTACATTTAAAACCAGAGTCTTGGTTTTCTGATCGGGAGTTGTTGGAGCAGATGTCCCTGCCGTCCTCGGCGTGCCATGAGTCGCTGGCCTCGTACTCGTACTGGTGGGTCAGAAACTCTGGCAGGGCTGATAGCAACGCCCCTAGTGCCATGACAATGCCACCACAGCCGATCAGTCGGGGTCTGTGGGCCTTGGCACCAAAGTAGCTGACAAACAAGATGAGAGCCAGGTTGCCAATTTCAAAGCTGCTGGCAATGACGCCCACATCAGCACTCTGCAGGTTGAAGCGTCTTTCCAGAGTGGTTAGAACACTGACCTGGCAAACAGAGGGAGAGAGAGAAAAGTTTGAAGTTTGAAGTTTGAGACTTTACAAGGATAAAAGTCAGTTAAGCAGAACACTGTATCTGCAAAACATCCGACTGTAGAACCACAGAATTTAAAGCCGACTGTAGAACCACAGCATTTAAAGCCGACTGTATCCTAAGCTCGACCTTTAACCCTCCTATGGTCAGACTAGTTAACACTTTGGTCTTTTTTTGTCATCACTTTATTGGAGAACAGAACAGGCTCACAGCCACAGGTCCTGGTTGTGACATCAACAACAGACACTAACTCACTGTCCATGATCTCCACGACACTAGAAAGGGCAAAAGAACAGACATCCTATCTGTCATTTGATAAAGCAAGCAGCCCAGTTTGACCTTGACATCACAGTGAGTTTGTAAAGGTAAAAAGAGCAGCTCAACAGCTTCAGTAAATGAGTGTTTTATTTTAGGGAACAACTAAATAATTTAGTTCCTATCTAAAACACGTACTCGGACTCAGAAACAGCGAACAGATCCAGTGACTGCTTTTTTCACCACGACCAGCCGTGCACCGGTCAGTCAGTGTAGCGTGTTTTCCTACTGCAGTTTAGAGTCTCAGAATTCTTGAGTAGGTCAACAATGTCAGCAGTTTGAAGGGTTTTTTAACATCAAGGACAACAGTCACTGATGGCCTTTAGCAGAGTTTTCTTCAAACAAAATGAAACCATGTGATGTAAAACAACATTCTGCAGTGTAATGGAGTTTTCCAGGTGTTATTTATTACCAGACTGATACTGCCATCATCTGTGACGCACTCAGAACTTGTACCAACGTTAGCGACCTGTTGCTACCACACAGAAGCTGAGCTCCGCTGCAGGTGAGCTGCTTCAAACATCTTCATCACCAGAATTCATCCCTGACTTCTCATCATAATCCCCTATGGTCCAGGCTGCTGCCGACCCAGCAGAGTTGGGTGAGTGCAGCACAAATGTGAGTCGAGGCTTTAAAAGAAAACAGAACCAAAAAAAAAAACCTTTTGCATCTGCGCTAATGATGCAGCAGAACAAAGACATTGTTGCCAGCTGTGTCCTGGGTACAGGTGCTGTCTGCTGAGGTACATCATATTCCATCATACTGTATTATCTCTGTCCACTAAACGGATTCTTACGTTGGAAATCAGTCCCCTGAATCTACAGTGTAAAGGTTTGTTACAGCTTCTTAAAAAAATGCAATAAAGGCTGAAGATTTGAGTTTATTTTCATTTGGAGAAAGTGGGCCAAGCACGGTTTGTGGACAATGTGTTCAAATAAAGAAATTAGGTCTTCACAAGACCTAAAACCTTTAATTGAGAAGTAGCGTTATTTTTAAAAGACCTACATTTTACAAAACCACCAGAGCAACACACAACCGACTTCTAGGTCATGTTTTTTAATTGGATTTATTGCTCTTTTTTTTTTTTTGGTTATACATAATTCTACTGCGACATCAATTTTTCCTAGTGGACACACAGACATGTTAGAAACCATGTTGTGTATAAACACATTAAATTTAATGTCAGGTGAAAATCTTAGGATTTGTCTCCAGCTCTGAGAAATAGCACCACCTGTGTGTAACCTGTCCACAAATGTTTCCTAACCTTATTATCAAACAAAGCTGTAACAAAATGTATCTGTTATGAAATACAACGATCTTCTGGTTTCAGTTTACTTAGAATTTACTTATGATACTAAATGTGAAACATGTTTGTTTAGTTGAACTCAATGCTGATTTAGCAGGAATTGAAGAAAGACACGAGAATCTACTTCAACATCTTTGAGTCGCTGTCTTACAATTACAAAAAAAAAGTACAGAGGTATTTTTATACATATCAAATGCCCCTGTCAGCCACATGTGCATTGAATTACAAATCTGCAGGGTTTTAAATTTAGACCACGATGAAAAATCAATGACATTAACGTTAATGTATAGGAACTAACACTTGTATATGTGTTTAAAAAGTCTGGAATTGCTCAATGATTATGAACTGTTTTCTGAAATTTCAGTTATTCTTTAGATGTTGCCTCCAGGATCCATCATCATTTTGTCGTCCTTTGTTTACTAGTCCGGTTTCTACAGTACGTTTCTCACCAAAGTGGAATTTTCTGCGGTTATTCATTTATTAGTGTCTCTGCAGAGTCATGTCTTCGTTTTTTTTTCTTCTACTGGACCTAAAGTCTTTGTTTTTGTCCTTTGCCTGCTTTGCACCATGAACAACTTATATAAAAAAAAAACTTCTTAAAGTACATCTCAGGTTGTGTGTTTCAGAAACAAGGCTTTATCATGTGAGAACTAAAAATTACACTTAAACTCTTCAGAATTATCTTCAGTTTAAACTTCAATTCAACATTTAAAAGAGTTTTTTTCTGTAAAGTGCATTACAGGTTTATGTTATGCCTCAATAAATAAAACTTCAATTCAACATTTAAAAGAGTTCCTTCTGTAAAGTGCATTACAGGTTTATGCCGGTTCTTTACGGGATTGGACATTTTGACCTTGGTATTTGTAGGAGGAGGTGAAGCAGTTCTGTTTCTGCATGCAGAGTAAAAAAAGGGTTTAATTGTAGGGGATTTAAAAAAAACCCACAACATCAGGTGCAGGATGACAGCTGCATACTCCAAGCCTGTTAAACCGACTACAGGTTTACATACATTTGACATAAACACTGCAGGTTTAATGTCTGTTCAGGCACATGGTTTTAGTAACTCCCCCCTCACCAAACAGCCATAGATACAAAATATAACCCCGGTGCTTCTGTGACCGGTCTGTAAAGGACCATCACGTCATCCCTGGGCCTATATTTACATACAGTAAATACACTACATCATGGTCATCAAGGCCTGCTGCAGCACGGTGAACGGCCTATCCTGACCAGCAGTTTCGTAACCTGCCCAACCTCCTGCAGACCATTCCTCCATGCACACGGATTTTACTTTTCCACCGTCAAGGTGCAGCCTGCGCCCACTGTGACGCGCTTTGTGTCGTGCGGATGCTGCAAAGGCCTGACGGATGATAACGCAGCAGCTCATCAATCAGCTAAAGTGAAGCGTCACTGCTCACCGGATAACGTGATCGCGAACAAAACGAGAATTATAAGCCGCATCGCCCTCTATACCCACTGTCCACCTGTGTCGGTTTGAAGGGCGCAGCGTCACAGCGGCGCCACCGGAGATACACGACGTTTCTCCGGGAGTTGTGCCGTGAAACTCACCAGATAGGCGCCCACGGTGCCCTGTGCCAGCATCAGCGCGCATTCCGACACCAGGAAAATCTTGATGTTAGAAAAGCAAGAGGTCTTCTTCTGGTTGTCCTCCTGCTCCGGGTCGTCGGTGCTGCTCCGCTCGGTGCAGATCTGGTTTTTAACCTGCATCCTGCGGCTCAGGCTCTGGTCGGCTTAGGCGGCATCAAAGTGACCTGGTCCGGTCCGGCGGAGGGCATCGGGTTGTGATGACGAGATGCACCGCAGAGAAAGTGCCAGTCACCAGGCAGTGGCCTTACAGTGAGATAGCGGTTCGGTCTGTCCACTCGGGGTTGCGCACAGTTTTGCGAGCTCTTCACCGCCTCTGTCCGCTCTGTGACACTACATCATATCTACACGCAACTGCTCCGTGTGTTCAGATCCACAGCGGTCTATAATCTCTACAGGACGCTCTCTCTACATGCCTGTCTCCTCCGCTGCTCCTGATGTTGTTTCTTTCCGGCTGCGACCAGCAGCTCCGCATCCAGACTATGATGCTCCTCCCATCCACATCCACAGTCTCTCTCCCTTCTCTCTCTCTTTCTTTCCCTCTCCCCCCCCCCCCCTCTCTCTCTCTCTCCTCCCCAGACCTTCACCCCAATCAATGTCACATCTCATCAGTGGAGCCACCGAGGTGTCTGTCGTGGTTTGCACTCCTTCATTATCAACAAACGCAGCTGCTCTTCACTGACATGATCTGACGAGTCTATTCAGACACAGACCGTGTCACATGGGAGGTAAAATGGTCTCCCGAGCTCAGGTGGGGTGGGAGGTGGGGAGGATTCTGAAAATTAACATTTAACCAAAAATTTTATCAAATTTTCAACCAAATCTCTATTTCAGCAAGTGAGAGCAAAAATAATATTTCTATTATTCTAATTACATTAGTCATAATTATTATTTGTTTAAAATTATTATTTTTCGGGATGTACTGGCAAAGATGAGTGTAAATATAAACTATTATAATATAAAGAGAAAAAGGTAAAATATAAAAATAAGATATCTAGTCACATGACATAAATTATTCCATAGTTACATCTTTGCATTTCATCAAATACATCAAAGACAAGACGCAAACAAAAAGCAAAAAGAATATTTCAGGTAATATGTAAGATGAGATGAGCAGTGATAAATATCCACTGCATAGACTTAATGATGAGAGCAATAAAGCCTGTGGTCAATCATTCTGCCTTTTACAATATGCTAAACCCACAGATCACTTGAGCAATGCTAGCTTTTCATTTTCGACCCACTAAGCCATTTGAAAGCATTTGCATTTCATGTGCTCTGAGTTTGTCAGGCAGGAAAAAAAAGAAAAAAAAACGACAGCAGTGAAATACCATGGCGGAAGATCTCCGATTATAACTGTGAAATAAGAGAACAGAGTGCCAAGCTCGCTCAACACTGACCCTGCAGCTTTTGGCTCCACAATATTCCACAGAACAGTCAGGACCAATTCACTAGCATCTGAAACAGCACAATCTATCAGACAAACTGTGGACTCAGCAAGGCAGCATCCATTTCTCATAGAGTCATTCAGAGTGCCTGCGGTGATTTAGGACTGATCACAGCGCCTGCCGATGCAGCCCTGGCCAAGTGAAGACATTATTTTAAGATGTCTCATAATCACTGAGGCCAGTGTAAGAGAAATGCACTTGTGCATTTAACCTACAATAATAAAATCTAAATTATACCAATGATAGTTCTGAAGGCAACAATCGACCCAGCTACTGTACACATACTGTGCATGTGCAACAGTTTTTTTTTTCATGAACACAGATTGTAACATAGAGAGAAAAAAAAAAAAATTAGATCTCACCGCATTGGCTCCTGGGTAAAATGGCATGGGAATCTTGGAAGTGAAGTTTTGTCTCCCACTCTTTGTGTTATTGGTTTCTTGCCGTTGTATTGATGTAGAGTCTGAAGATCATTGCACCCTTGACCCTATTGGAAATCTAAATAATGGATAATACAGTAAAAATGACAGATGTGAGCAAAGGTATTAGCAACACAGTCAGTAAATAAGACTTAGTGGCAGCATCTTCAGTAAATGAATAATAAAAAAATCCTCTTCCCCAAATCTTTAATACGAGTCTCTTTGTTTCTTAAAACATGATTTAAATATATTTAAAGACGCAGACACAAATTATTTCACTCAGGTTACATTGACACCACACTGTAATCCACACACTGACCAGAAACAACAACCATGTTGGATCAGTGGGTTTGTCTGTGGAGTCCTCCCTCCAGAGGTTTATTTAGGCCTAACAGTGGTGACCCCAGCCCATAATCCTGCTGCAGACACACCTGTAGAGAGGTGTATAAAGAGCCTGGACAGCAGTGGATCCAGCACAGATCATCAGGAGTCTCTCCACAGTAGATCTCCACACAAGGTCCAGATCAATCCTGAAGATGACTCCCACTGTCAGTCTGCTGATGCTGCTGCTGCTGCTCGGCCTCTCTCAGGCTCATCCTCTCCAGGATGAAGGAAATGAAGAAGAAGCCACAGACGGCGTTGACATCAGCACCAGGATTCTGACCTCCAACAATGCCACAGATGAGATCCTTCTGGAAGGAGACCTGCTGGCTCCCAGAACCAGAAACGCCATGATGTGCTGGTCTCAGAGCTGCCAGTGGAGGAAAGGTTCCAATGGTCTGGTGACCATCCCCTTCACTGTGAGCAGTGAGTTCACCAGCTGGGAAAGGCAGAAGATCCAGTACGCCATGAACGTCTACCACAGCAAGACCTGCCTCCGCTTCGTCCCCCGTCAGAGCGAGTACGACTACATCAGCATTGAGAACAGAGCTGGATGTTTCTCTGCTCTGGGCAGAGAGGGAGGAAGACAGGTGCTCTCTCTCAACAAACAGGGCTGCCTCTACCACGGCATCATCCAGCACGAGATCAACCACGCTCTGGGCTTCCAGCACGAGCAGACCAGGAGCGACAGAGACTACTACGTCAGGATCAACTGGGAGAACATCAACCCACAGATGGCCTACAACTTCTACAAGCAGTCCACCAACAACCTGAACACTCCCTACGACTACTCCTCCATCATGCACTATGGAAGAACAGCCTTCTCCATCCAGTACGGCAGAGACAGCATCACCCCCATCCCTGACGCCAACGTCCAGATCGGCCAGAGACGGGGCATGTCCTACTGGGACATCATGAGGATCAACCTTCTCTACAGCTGCTGATCATGATAGTGCTGTCTATGTAGAGTGACAGTTACTCTTATTGCTTGTGAATTCTTGTGCAACTAATTAAAAGCAACTATACCTTAAACATCTGTATGTTCTGTTACTTATCTAAAACACATTTTGAAATTATTTTGATTTTCCTGTGACATCGACCAAACTAACATAATACATATTCACATTCATTCATTTTTTTAATCTAATCAATTATTATTCCATCAATGTATTTAATTCTATACAGAACAACTATTATTTTAAAGGTGCAAGACACATGGTAGAAAAACAAACATTAACAAATACATGTAAGCCTGCGGTCATGTGAGTGGCTCCAGTTAATCTAATCCCCTCCTCCACTCATACAGCACCTGTTTAAACCAGTGAACCTTTAATCCTATTAGAATACAAGGCCTGTTAGAATAGATTTTACTGGAGGAAAATATCATACAAAAAATATTTTTCCAAATATCTGAGAGGTCTTGTTTGGTCTTCAGAAGAGACAAAGACAGGAAAACAAAACAATACGGTGTATTTTCTTGGAGATACTACAGTGATCTAACACCCATGAAGGCAGAGTACATATATAAATGAAACATCTTGAGAAAATCTTTGTTTTAGACATGGTCAATATGTTATTTGTCTCGTAAAGAGTTGTACTTGACAGTAATTATTAAAATTGGTCGGAGAGTTGTCAGCACATCAAAAAATAATCAACAACAAGTTTTTACAGTTCTCTACTTATTTACAACTCAAATGTCATATTATATATAAAGACATTCTTCATTATGTCCTATTTATATCATGGTTACATCAAACTATTTGAGTGGAAAATATAACTTTTTTACTACATCATTGAAGTTCTGTTCTACATTGCCAGTATCACTGTACTCCACAGGCATCGACCACTTTTACTGGAATTTAGGAAGAAAAGATAAGGAGACAAGTCTGTGGTATATAAAGTTCACATTCCCGTGCATTGTGTTGTGTTTGTAAAATGCAGTGCTGCTCAAAACCTAACAAATCTCTGCAACATCGTTGACAGTGTTTAAGCTGTTTGATAATTGTTTTAATTTGCTTGAAGATTTATTTTTTATTTTCAATTAACAGACTTGAATTATTGTACTAAATGCATTAAAGGTTTATCGAGGTCAAGAATTTGTTTATAACTATTTGAAGGCCTGTAACGGAATATGACTGTTGAAAAGTGGGAATTGTTTTACACTAGTAAAATAGTGACACATTGGATGTCTTACATTAATGTTGATTTTATTAATTCTCCAAGAAAAAACAACAATCACAGAGAATGATATTTGTGGTGTTATTTAGCATTAGCTTCATTAGCATCCGTAGAGAAGGTTGATCCTCATGATGTCCCAGTAGGACATGCCCCGTCTCTGGCCGATCTGGACGTTGGCGTCAGGGATGGGGGTGATGCTGTCTCTGCCGTACTGGATGGAGAAGGCTGTTCTTCCATAGTGCATGATGGAGGAGTAGTCGTAGGGAGTGTTCAGGTTGTTGGTGGACTGCTTGTAGAAGTTGTAGGCCATCTGTGGGTTGATGTTCTCCCAGTTGATCCTGACGTAGTAGTCTCTGTCGCTCCTGGTCTGCTCGTGCTGGAAGCCCAGAGCGTGGTTGATCTCGTGCTGGATGATGCCGTGGTAGAGGCAGCCCTGTTTGTTGAGAGAGAGCACCTGTCTTCCTCCCTCTCTGCCCAGAGCAGAGAAACATCCAGCTCTGTTCTCAATGCTGATGTAGTCGTACTCGCTCTGACGGGGGACGAAGCGGAGGCAGGTCTTGCTGTGGTAGACGTTCATGGCGTACTGGATCTTCTGCCTTTCCCAGCTGGTGAACTCACTGCTCACAGTGAAGGGGATGGTCACCAGACCATTGGAACCTTTCCTCCACTGGCAGCTCTGAGACCAGCACATCATGGCGTTTCTGGTTCTGGGAGCCAGCAGGTCTCCTTCCAGAAGGATCTCATCTGTGGCATTGTTGGAGGTCAGAATCCTGGTGCTGATGTCAACGCCGTCTGTGGCTTCTTCTTCATTTCCTTCATCCTGGAGAGGATGAGCCTGAGAGAGGCCGAGCAGCAGCAGCAGCATCAGCAGACTGACAGTGGGAGTCATCTTCAGGATTGATCTGGACCTTGTGTGGAGATCTACTGTGGAGAGACTCCTGATGATCTGTGCTGGATCCACTGCTGTCCAGGCTCTTTATACACCTCTCTACAGGTGTGTCTGCAGCAGGATTATGGGCTGGGGTCACCACTGTTAGGCCTAAATAAACCTCTGGAGGGAGGACTCCACAGACAAACCCACTGATCCAACATGGTTTGTTGTTTCTGGTCAGTGTGTAGTTAAACACGGGTTTCGTGGAAGGATGGTTGTCACAGAATAAAATATTTTTAAAGACAAAAATCAGAAGAATGCAAAAACTTCCCCTTGATTTACTTTATAATTTACCATTAAATTTTATTTTGTAGATTTTAAGCACAATTGTAATGATGGAGGACATAGTAATTTGTTCACTTGTTCATACATTTATTCATTTAATGTTTGATTGAAATTGTTAGTCTATTATTTAAAATGTATTTACAATTTATATTTATTTACAAAAGTGCTTTAAGTGAGTAAAATTGTTTAAATGAAGAAACTGGTGTAATTTAAATATAACGAAATTGACGTATATGGATAGACCAACATTTATTACTGGGCTCACTGAATACACATTAGTGTCGAGGTTTAGTAAAATAGACTAATTATATTGCATTATAGAACAAATTCACTGGAGTTTACTCTACATACATTTTATTTAAAATTATATATATATATATATATATATATTACTAACACACATTACCGCAAACTGTAATTTTAATTAGAGTGCTGAAATGTGGCTAAAAAAATCTAAGTTGTACTGATTTCAATGAATCTAACAAAAATACACACACGTACAATATGCAGCATATATACTGTATAAATATATATTAAAAGAAGTCATGGTGATATTGAGGAGTGTGATCATATGTAGATCTGAGTTGTTTGAAATAGTCAGTCTAACTATTAAAAATGTGAGACCGGCTTCATCATAAAACAAAGTTTTCATTGGAGCTCACGATTAAAACAGAAGGTCTTTCAACATCAGTGCTGCTCAGACTTGATCTCCATTCACTTCAAACTATATAGTGAGCGAATAATACTATCTTGCTTAAATTAAAAAGAATATTTCTTAATTTTATTAAAAAAAAATCAGATTTTTTTTAAAACTCTGGGGCTTTTAACAAATTGTCCTTAGAGACTGTTAAAAACCTCTGCTGCTGCTGATTTCGTTAACTTATACCTGTCAGTTTTCACCAGACTAATACAAGCTGCAGGATAAACTCTGACGGATGAAACTGGGTTTCATTTCACATCATCATCTGCAGTAAAGTCTAAAACTACACCTTCTCTAACCCAGATTTAGGGGCCGTCTACATAGTTACATACAGTGTTTTCACCCCTTTGTTGTTTTTAGGCTTAACTTTCATTCAAAAACATTTCTAACTTTTTTACTGTTAAAGCAATAAATCTAAGAAATGTATATAAAATGTTAATTTTTTAGTACTTTTACCTTGTGATAATCTATGGTCAATATAATCTCTAGATTGTTTGGTTCGTGGGGATTCATACTTTGGAAGTAAAAGCCTAATTCAGCAAATAAAAAATTAAATGACTAAAATTCCCTTTAAACAGAATTTAACTAATTATCCCACATAATTACTGTTAATTCTGGTATTTGTACATGATTGTACTTTAATTTATTGCTAAATTACTGAATGATGTTTGAGATTGTAATAAATAATTTCATGATGAATATATGATGAGTAATAAAAATCATAGACCCTAAAATATCTTAAGGTAAAGTTGCCTTTATTTATTGACAAAAAATGGGACAAGATGTCACAATATTCATCATGGCGGAAGATCTCCGATTATAACTGTGAAATAAGAGAACAGAGTGCCAAGCTCGCTCAACACTGACCCTGCAGCTTTTGGCTCCACAATATTCCACAGAACAGTCAGGACCAATTCACTAGCATCTGAAACAGCACAATCTATCAGACAAACTGTGGACTCAGCAAGGCAGCATCCATTTCTCATAGAGTCATTCAGAGTGCCTGCGGTGATTTAGGACTGATCACAGCGCCTGCCGATGCAGCCCTGGCCAAGTGAAGACATTATTTTAAGATGTCTCATAATCACTGAGGCCAGTGTAAGAGAAATGCACTTGTGCATTTAACCTACAATAATAAAATCTAAATTATACCAATGATAGTTCTGAAGGCAACAATCGACCCAGCTACTGTACACATACTGTGCATGTGCAACAGTTTTTTTTTTTTCATGAACACAGATTGTAACATAGAGAGAAAAAAAAAAAAATTAGATCTCACCGCATTGGCTCCTGGGTAAAATGGCATGGGAATCTTGGAAGTGAAGTTTTGTCTCCCACTCTTTGTGTTATTGGTTTCTTGCCGTTGTATTGATGTAGAGTCTGAAGATCATTGCACCCTTGACCCTATTGGAAATCTAAATAATGGATAATACAGTAAAAATGACAGATGTGAGCAAAGGTATTAGCAACACAGTCAGTAAATAAGACTTAGTGGCAGCATCTTCAGTAAATGAATAATAAAAAAATCCTCTTCCCCAAATCTTTAATACGAGTCTCTTTGTTTCATAAAACATGATTTAAATATATTTAAAGACGCAGACACAAATTATTTCACTCAGGTTACATTGACACCACACTGTAATCCACACACTGACCAGAAACAACAAACCATGTTGGATCAGTGGGTTTGTCTGTGGAGTCCTCCCTCCAGAGGTTTATTTAGGCCTAACAGTGGTGACCCCAGCCCATAATCCTGCTGCAGACACACCTGTAGAGAGGTGTATAAAGAGCCTGGACAGCAGTGGATCCAGCACAGATCATCAGGAGTCTCTCCACAGTAGATCTCCACACAAGGTCCAGATCAATCCTGAAGATGACTCCCACTGTCAGTCTGCTGATGCTGCTGCTGCTGCTCGGCCTCTCTCAGGCTCATCCTCTCCAGGATGAAGGAAATGAAGAAGAAGCCACAGACGGCGTTGACATCAGCACCAGGATTCTGACCTCCAACAATGCCACAGATGAGATCCTTCTGGAAGGAGACCTGCTGGCTCCCAGAACCAGAAATGCCATGATGTGCTGGTCTCAGAGCTGCCAGTGGAGGAAAGGTTCCAATGGTCTGGTGACCATCCCCTTCACTGTGAGCAGTGAGTTCACCAGCTGGGAAAGGCAGAAGATCCAGTACGCCATGAACGTCTACCACAGCAAGACCTGCCTCCGCTTCGTCCCCCGTCAGAGCGAGTACGACTACATCAGCATTGAGAACAGAGCTGGATGTTTCTCTGCTCTGGGCAGAGAGGGAGGAAGACAGGTGCTCTCTCTCAACAAACAGGGCTGCCTCTACCACGGCATCATCCAGCACGAGATCAACCACGCTCTGGGCTTCCAGCACGAGCAGACCAGGAGCGACAGAGACTACTACGTCAGGATCAACTGGGAGAACATCAACCCACAGATGGCCTACAACTTCTACAAGCAGTCCACCAACAACCTGAACACTCCCTACGACTACTCCTCCATCATGCACTATGGAAGAACAGCCTTCTCCATCCAGTACGGCAGAGACAGCATCACCCCCATCCCTGACGCCAACGTCCAGATCGGCCAGAGACGGGGCATGTCCTACTGGGACATCATGAGGATCAACCTTCTCTACGGATGCTAATGATGCTATTGCTTAGTAAAAAATAATCATAAATAATGAGGTTAGCACGCCTGCCTGGGTTCGATTCCCAGAGGAACCACGTGTTTGATAATGTTAATCCTCCTCTGTAAGTCGTTTTGGATAAAAGCTAAATGCAAAAATCTTAAGGAAAATGCTGCGATGTAAAACCTCTAATAATATTAAAATGCCCTAAAATAAAGAGAAGTAACATGATTGAAATTGTTTCATCAGTGTTTGGCTTTTTTCCATATTTTTGGACAGCATTAGTCCACACAAAAATGTTGATGCTTACAGAGAAAAGGTCATGTTTGATAAATTCATCTCAGGTTAAATTATTTTTTTTAGGGTCAAAAACAATGTTTCACATGGGATAAAATACAAACCATAGAAGCCAAGTCCTCATGTTGAGCAACATATTTTGTTTACCACAGAGAAACTGGATTTTTTTTCTTCATATAATCAGCATCATAAATTATAAAACACATAGCTCTAAACTGCAACGAAAAGCTTTTTCTTTTTCACAGTTCATATCGCTCCACATGCAAGTTGCATGATAAGTTGCCGTTTCCAATCGTATTTAAGAGAACGCATTAGGACTATATTTTACGCTCGGGTTATTTTTCATGGCCGTTATGTGAATCCTTAAATGTGCTTGCACCAATACTTTGCCTGATTCGAGCTATATTTTGCTGAGATTGTGTGTTTAACCCAGGTGGCACACGAAGCACACTGAGCAATGCACACTACATATAATGCTTATCATTGGACACTATGTAAATCTTTAAAGTGCACTTTTAGAAAAATCTATAAAAAATAGTGAAGTAGCGTCCGAAACACAACAATAATTAATCAGAGAGGTTTATTATAAGGTAGCAGGAAGATTTCAATGTAAACATTGATGCCGCTATAATATCTGATTGTGTCCTCTGCTGACCCCCTGTGGTTTACAACTGCAACCGCAGATAAAAAAATCAGATTGGGAGGATTTTCTTTAATAAAAAAAAACTGAAGCAAATCAAAGCTAACGCTACATGATGCTACAAAAATGTCAATAAAAAACACAACCATTGAAGCAAATCAAAGCTAACGCTACATGATGCTACAAAAAAAATGTCAATAAAAAACACAACTAAGATAAGAAATGTTTAAAGACAAGTCCATAGAAAAACAGTACAGGAAAAATAGAATCAGGTTGTACTGCATGTTACCAAGTCAAATTAAAGTGAAGTGAATACAAATATAAATACGGATGAAATTCTAATCATTAACTGGTTTTGTCAAATACAATTTAAAAAAGGAAAAACAAACAAAAGAAAACAAACATTTAGTTCCTGGTTACTGAGCCTCCTTTACTGCCCATGTAAAACTCCTTGTGATTTAAAAAAAGCACAAATATATATATATATATATAAACAACAAACAACCAGTTGATTATAAGTCCAATGCAGACCAGCCTACACCAGCTCTTAGGATCAGTGTGAATATAATAGTCTGCCATTTAACTTAATCACCATGTGCAACAAACAGAGCTCTGTTTAACTTGTGATTTTAACAACAATAGTGTTAGTACCGTTTTATAAGGAGGGATTTCATGAGGAAAATACAGGGTTTACCTTAGTATTGGGATAAGCAAAAGCTCGGGCCGGGTTCCACATGGTACTGTGTGTCTGTAGTTTTCTTCATGTTGTACTTGTAGTTTGTTGTTACACTCGTAGTTAGGAACATCTGCTGAGCACCGGTCAGTCGGGTTTCTCTTGATAAGGAAGCGTCCGTTAATCTCTCTGCAACAGAAGTTTCCCAGGTATCAAAGTAATCTCTTAGGCTTTTCTGTTTCCAAGGACACTTTCGCTGACATTTGGTTGTGCAGTTTTAAAATGGCGCCCCACTTTGCTTCCTTCGAAACAGGTGCCGTTTTGTTTGTATAACGTCTTGTATCCTAGCTCCTCCGGTGTTTTTGACATGATTTTCGCTTTTTTGCCTACCCAGTAGTTTTAAATTTATTTATTTATTTTTTTTGTATGTTTTGCAACGCCCTGAGTCTGTCTAGTTATTGTCTTTTTAAAATTAGAAATCGATCAATTTTGTACCCCCTGCGTGTCAGATTGTGAATGAGGAACTAAGCACTGATTTTGGTCAAGCTAGCTGGTGTTGTAAATCCTGTTGCCAGGTTTGGCAGATCCCCACAGTTTGATATTAAAATAATAGATAGATCGATAGATAGATCGATAGATAGATGTCTTAGGGACATTACCGTACAGATATTTGTAGTGCAGTGTAGTGCTTACTGTATATTTGGAGCCAGTCACAGCAGATGGCAGCAGAGGACTTGTAGTACTTTAGTTTGGAGTCGTCATGCCTGCGTTGTGGCCCCACGTAATGCCTTTTCCTCATTTTGGTTTGTCATATCCTGGTCCAGAGATGGCTGGAGGCCTCACAGAAAGAGAGGAAATGAGAAAACCATTCAATCATCCCTTCACATATTTTGAGCTGTACTGCAATAATACTCCATATACATTGACTTAAGTAGTATATCCATAGGATTCATTTTTACCTACGCACAGCCAGTAAGTCACTCTGCAAACTACTGTGTGGAGAACTGGTTATTAGAGTTACATAAGATCAGGATCTGTATCCACATTTCTGACTGCGTACATTTGTATAAACATACAACATAAAACAATAACATAATGGTCTTAAACATTCAAAAGAAAATTATTTTTGTCGTACACATTTGTCATGTACAGTCTCTCTTTAACCTTGTCTGCTTTCTTCTTTCCTTTTTGTATTTGCAATAGCATGACTTGTCATCCCAACATATATTTAACACTAATATTTACATCTTTGAAAAAAAATAAAATGAGGAAAATATTTGGCATTGCACACCATTAAACAATTATATTTCTTTGAAGAATCAATACATTTGTATTCACTGTATTAAACATGCACCCTGATTAAGTCATAAATAATCAAGAATGGAATAATTTATACTCAGTGGGAAAGGGTCCTCAAGTTCATCCTTGATGTCCCTCCAAGAATGTTTTTTTTTTCTCTTTAGAATAAGCCTGGCAGAAAGACAAAGTAAAGAGAGTCGGGGTTCAGAGCCTGTAGAATCCTCCAGTGATTTCCTCCACTCACAGGAGAGACTGTGGTAAACTATAACTCCACTGCCTTTGGTTAGAAACAGATAAGTTCCAGTTCGCAGAGGATACACTGAGATGTAAATCAGTAACGGTCATCGTTACAGGCCTGAATTCCTGAAACAGATCCAGGATGAAACGGTCTTTGGAGGCTCAGACCGAACATCGGCCTCTGACTGAAGCTTCACAGTGGCACTGATATTTATCCACGGAGATAACAAAGGTTTATAAATCGCTCAGTCATTCTCCTAATCAGTGCAGCTTCACATAACAACACATAGAGAGTGGAAAAGGAGCAGTTAATTAATGACATTGTTTATGATCAGATCATAAACCAGGACCAGCTCCTCTGATCCTTTGAAAATGTCTTCCAGATTTGCCGTCTAAACACTGTCACTGCTCTCAGACATAATGGCTCTGGGGAATAAAGACTAATCTTATTGGAAACCAATTATGTCTGTGTCTCAGCTAATTCAATCTGTCTTACAATAAAGTCAATAATCTTTTTTTTTCTAGACGTTGGTCTGCATTTATGATTTGTTTTTCTGGGTTTATGATCCTGTTCCTGTCTGTCACTGAAGACGACATGGGGTTTAACAGGCAGTAATGACACTACAACCACGTATACTGGTTGTAGCTTGTGCAGCTGTACTCATGGTATCACTGTATGTAGTATTAGAGTGTAGTACGTCTGCACCTGGATCTGCTGCAGACTTTTCTCTTGTTGAATTAGACATTTTTCTCCACACAGTTGCCGAAACCTGTGCTCAGTGTCTGATCTAATTTTAATTTTTAATAATATTTGCAAAACCTATTCTGCTATATTTTGTATTGTCAATATTAAGTCAATATATAACAGTACTGACTGTATTTATATTCCACCATTTTCCCCTGTTTTACAGGATTTAAAGATGATACCCAAAATACAAAGATGTGTTTTGTAAATGCGAGGCTGCACGACGACATCGACTTCTACATTCATTCATCACAATATGATTTCATCATAAAAGATGAATTAATGGGAGAAACAGAAAGCTTCAGGTCTGTTGTCCTTCTGCTCCAACAGGACAATGGTTTCACCCTCGATGACTGGGTTTTAATTTTGGTCAAGAATCTATGTCAAAGTAACGAAAAAAGGTGGTCTTTCTCCCACCCACACTGCTGTCCTTTTATCTCTTTCGATTTTTTTTTTTTTTTTTTTTTGGATTCTTCTGTCCCACGTCCACTCCACACTGCCTCTGCTGGATGAATGACCACAGGTATTAAAACTCATCCAATCCAATTTAGATTATAGGCTGTTACACCTCACAGGTTAAGTCCTGGTTTCACCTCTCACTTCACGACTGAAGAGACCTCTCAGCGGACCCAAAGAAACATTTTCACTTTTGATAGATGAAAGTCAAGTTCACAGATTTAACAACCGGGCAGATTCAGTGGCTGCTCACCGCTCTCTCAGGACGTTCTACTCTGCATGATGTAAAGAACCAGTGAGCTTCACCTGGCCGCACGTCCCTGGTGGACAGAGTGACAGTGAACCAACGCAGTCGAGTCGGTGGCAAACTTTTCAGCAGCGTTTGACTGAAAAGGTCTCTGGAGAGAAGGCTGGTGTTGAAAGGCACTTTGATACGACAGAGTGAGTTACTAATGATCGTTGCCCCTCGTGTCTGATGTTTTGATAAATGAGAGTGTGTTATCGCCCTAAGTGCCCCCTAATGGTCGTCTGCTATCTCTGCACTTTATCTGCTTTCAATGTTTCACACAAAAGACACAAACAAAAAAACCAAAAAATCTTTGTCATGACGGGGTTCAGCTGCTGTTTGGCTTCAAATCGAAATCATTGTTGTTGGATAAAGAAACAAAATTCAATCTACCATAGAGTGACTTCAGGTAAAAAAATATATATTCAAGTTCAGCGAGTCAAAGTATGACATGAATATAAATGTGGACTGCATTCTGATTTGCATGACTTTTAAAGGAGGAACTTTCTTCCCATCAGTGCCATTCCTGAGCCTCTTCTTGGTGTCTATTTTGTCATGACTAGCTTCTTGCTTCACAAAACAAAAAATGCATGCAGATTTTGCTAATCATTAAGATTTTGTTTAAAATTGTAAAATATTGTGTGAAGGACATTTCCAATGTATGCTCTAAATATTATAAGTGAAATGTCGGATCAGAATAAGTTTATTAAAATGTTTTGATGTTAAATGTCTCAGCTTAATAATGTGTCTGTATCTCTGCCTCAAATCCTTCCTGTCTCTTTTTGAACTTCATGTCTCATTAGTTTGGACACATGGTAATGTCTGATAATAATTATTTTATACATTGAAACAGTAAAAAAAAAACCTTGAACTTGACAGACTAAATGAAGCAGAAGCTGTGATTTCACCAGATCCTCAAAGGCAACAACATCAGCAGCTGACATTTACAGAACAAATCTCCAGGTGCCTCCACGTACCTTCATGTACCTTCATGTACCTTCATGTACTGTGTACGGACTGTTATATTCAGTACAAACTCAGCACATGTTTGTTTTATGTGCTGGATTGAAGCTCAGCTTGATGGCAACAAGAAGCAGAAGAAAAAAAAAGACACCAGAGAAAAAGCCTGTGATGATGATGTGACTGTCAAACCATGTGACCTTCTCACGTCAATGGAGATTTAATGGATAGAAGAGAGAAGTGTGGGTTTGCTTTAAAAAAAAAAAAAATTATAAAAAGACAGATTATTAGTGAGCACACACTTCAAAACACTCTGTGTGGTTCAGTATAAACAATGACTTGTTCTACTGAAACACAACAACCTTCTGCTTCACTGGCAAACTACGTTAGAGTGTAAATAGCTGCAGAATCAGTGAAGGCGGCTGTGGCAGCTGTGGCTGCTGCAGATTATTACCAACACAAGAGTTTTCTCCACAAGAAAATCACAGAATCATAAAGAGTTAGTAACTCATTATGATGATATAGTATCTTGTTATTATCAATTAATAACTTTCAATAATGAGATACTATGCCATCATAATGAGGTAGTATCTCATAGTGATAAGATACTAACTTGTTATTAGGAGATAATATCTCATTTTTTATTTCAAAGACATTTCAAAAACAATAATAAAAAAGCTCTTGTATATCTCTCTGTAGTTCCGGTCTTTAGAGACTTGGAGACAGGATTCAATAACTCAGTTTTAATTAATTTTTCACCGAAAGGAGATTGGTGTGTGATAGATTCCGGTGTGGCCTGTATGTGAAACAGAAGCATTTATAATCAAAGTTGTTTCTCATCTAAAAATGTCTTGGTCAGATTTTGTCAATTTATTTATGAGAGAAAAACCATTAAATGACTGTCAGTTCTAGAGACAAGTCAGTGTTTGAGATGTGTTACTAATTTTTTCCTGGTTTGTATCAATCTCAGGACTGGTACATTATTCAACTACTAAGTAGTAGTACTAAAAAAAAACACAGAGGAGTCTGTGGCCAAAAAAGATTGGAAATCACTGACCTACGGATACACACTGAAAACGTCAACACTGCATGTTCTAATGGACTGAAACACCTGGGACCAACCCATACGGTTGATGACAGAACCGACCAATGCTCTTAGAATAATTATGATACAACTGGACAGTACTACAGTACTACAGTACTACATGTTCATACTGTGGCTAAGAGCAGGAAACAGAGGAGTACCACAGTGAGCTGCTGTACAGAGAGGACAGATCGTTGTGTAATCTGTCAAAGACCGCTTTTCATTTACAGTGAATGTGCATTGTATAGCACAGAGCAGTTGCACAACAATCACACATGCACCAACACACACACACACACACACTTGCTCAAATCTAAAAGCTTTTTACACAAACAACCTCTACTGTGAGCGGCGCAGCCTCAGGTTCTCGGCTCCTAAAGACACTTTTCTTTACACTTATCTGTACAGAACAATGGTTTCTCCATTTTGTTTTCAGCCTTACTGCACAAATGAACATCTGACGTTGTGAGTAGGATGAATCCAGTCCACGATTACTAGAGAAAAAAGAAAATAATAAAATCAGAACATGGGAGAAAGAAAAAAAAGGAAATGACAGCTTCACTTTTCTCCAGTCCAGCTCACAGTGTGTGTTGTGTGTGTTGTGTGTGTATGTCGTGAGAGCGTCGCCCTCCTTGAGTGAACACAGTTAAACACATGTCAGTGGATTTGAGGACAGTGTGTGAACAGTCGCCGGCCTTGCCCTCGCTCCTCACCCCTCTCCTGCAGGACGAACCCATGGCAGTGCAGTTCAAAGCCTCCTTTTCTGCAGATTTAGTCTCGTGGAATGAAGTCACCGCGTGTGCGAAGCGACGGCCGCTTCGGAGCCCTCTACGGAAACGTATCGTGAACAGTCCGTAGATAATAGGGTCCAGGCAGGCGTTGAAAAGACCGAAGATGAAGAGGATGTGGGTGAGGGAGTGAGAGACCTTTCCCTCCAAGTCGTCGGGGAAAAACCAGTACCACAGGCCCAGCAGGTAGTAGGGAGTCCAGCACACTATGAAGCATATCACGATGACGATACTCATTTTCAGGGTTCTCATCCTGGCCTTGGGGATGTTGTTCTTTGAGCAGCGCAGGTGAGGCTCACTGGAGGACACTGGAGTGAAGGAGTAGAGACAAATATTTAGTATTAGGTAAACAGTATTCTGCATTCTGATAAGCTTCACTTGTAAAGCAGGAACATTCTTCCCATCAAGTGCCATTTCTAAGCCTCTTCTTGGTAGTTTTGTCATGACTGCCATCATCATCACAAAAACAAAAAAAGTAAAAAAAATGCATATAAATGCATATTTTGCCAATGATTAAGATTTTAATGATTTAAAATTTTAAAATATTTAACTCAATGTGAAGGACATTTCCATTGTGTGCTCTAAATCAGGTTCTCAAACTGTGGTATGCGTACCACCAGTGGTACGTGAGCGCTCTCTAGTGGTAGGTGGGGAAAATTCATATTTTCACATTAACATTTTCAATTGAATAAATCTGAAACACACTATGCACAATTAATACAACATTTAGAAAAAATGTGTAGCTACTTGTGAGATTATGAAATAGGATGTCTGGTAATACCTGATAATAATCATTTTATACATTGAAAAATACTACAGTACAAACTCAAAACTCACCTTCTATTTGGCAGAAAATTAAAAAAAGCACTTAAAGCCAAATTTTTCTTCTTTAATTTCACACAGCCGAATACATAATGACAATATAGTTTTTGTTTTGTTGCCTAAATTAGAAATCACAATTTGTTTTATCCTCCTCTGTTCTAATGTGCTTTCCAATTTTCTATAATAACAAATTCTCTTAAGTCTTTAAATCTTTTATTATTTTACCATCAATGTTTTCACTTCCTGTGTTTTTCTTTGTTTTGTTTTGTTTTTTGTCATATCATTTTTTGACCAGTAGTTGGAGCTGCAGCTCCCCCATTCCTACACCAGCAGGAAACTCACTGCTGGTCTTCGTCATCTGGATGAAGATCCTGGTGTAGCAGACTATCATGATGACCAGTGGCAGCAGGAAGAGGCAGGAGAAGGTGAACATGTTGTAGGCAGTTTCCTGCCAGTGGGTGACAAAGCTCCCCCTGGTGGTGCACTGGGTGAAGTTGGCTGGATATGTAATGGTGACGTTGTGAAAAAGAAAAATCTGTGAATAAAAAGTGAACAGAAAAAAAGTGAAATGGAAGCATCAGTGTTAAAGTAGAATATTATTTTAATGACAAATAATATTTTGAAATATTTAGAATCCATTTGAATCTACTGATAAAGAACAGCATATTGCTAATAGATAATCACCCATCAATTGTTGCATGGATTAATCCAATCCATCCATCATCCATCCATCAATCCATCCATCCATTCAATAATTAGTCCATTCCTCCATCTTTCTATCTGTTAAAGGCAGGTCATAAGTGAGAATCGTACATAGCAAAGATAACCTAACATTTTCTAAAGTACTCCGTGGCACTGATGTGTTTAGTTTTAATGAGACAAAGTGCTGAATATTGCAAGAGAACTTTTTGACAAAATCCCAAAAGTCAAGTCACAAAACTTTGCAGTGTACTGCCCTGTTCCCTGAACTTTTTAATAGGAACCTTTTTTTTTTAAACAAGACAAACATGACCCTGTTAAAAAAAAGTTTGGATTACTTAAAGTAGACTAATTATGATTTTTATACATTGTAAAAACTGTAAATCAATCTGAATGTCCACAAATCTTCACTGTCTAAAGCACAGGACCAAACTGAAGCTGTAGATAAACAGGTGACCTCAGTAGGACTGGGGGACAGAGACAGAGTTGACCAATAGATTAATATAATAGATTAACAATAATAAATACAAAAATCAGAACCTGTTGGTCCCATGTACTGTAGTATCATGTAGTACAGAGTACACAGTCATCACCTTTCATAACATTACTACAGTAATGACATCCTGCTTTTCTATTGGAATCAATTTAAATTCAATTAAATGCCAACAATAAGTATAACTAGGTTATTAGTTTATATATAATAAGTTGACATATATGTCCATGTGAGTTAGAAACCACTGCAACATCCTTGGAGACATAATTAGTTCAAACAAATTTACTGTATTTTTAACAAATCTTTCATGTCATTAAAAAAATACTAGAGAATAAATAAAAGAGATCAACCTGTGTTTTAAATGCGTCCCCGCTGTAACGCTCCTCTCACAGGCTAATCAACAGTGAGCCACGCAGTGTTGCCAGACAAACAGGCGGGATTAAGGATTCTCCTCAGTGTGGTTCACTGTGATAAAGCCACTAATCCCGAGATCATGTGGGCCCCTCAGTCATGCATCAGGTTCTCTGCCTTGAAGCCTAATGAATTCTTCACATTTTATGTAAATGCACAGAGAAAAATCAACAGAAATTTAAATACGAAGCCACACGACGCCGTCTTCACGGACGTGTTGTTTTTTTTCCAATTTGATCAGGGACCCAATCATCTCTCCACAGGTTAAAAGACTTCTCACAGTTTCACGGCGTGGACCTTCGAGGTAAACATCACAGGAAAATATAGCACTTTTTTTATGTGTGAAAAAAAAAGAACATTATTGATTCTGCACTACTGAAACGATTGTGTTATCAGCAGAGCTGCAGCAACATGCTGCCCCTCGGAGGCATCAGGATTACACTGGGGCTCGAACCCACGACATTCTGCGTGTAAGCAGGTGTAATAATAATAATAATAATTTGAACTTCATTGATCCCACACTTGGTAAATTCTTGTTATCAGCAGAACTGCTGCAACAGGCTGCCCCTCGGAGGCGCCAAGCACGTGGTTCCTGTGGAAATCGAACCCAGGACTATATAACGGCCACACTCTGAAACCGCTGCTCCATTGCTAGTGCATCATTCTAGGTCAAAGGTCATAGGTCAAAGTACTGTTTTCTCACCTGCGGAACTGAGAACAAGGCGCTCATCGTCCACGCCACCATCAGCATCGTTCTGTTCTTCTTCCGGGCCACGCTGATGGACAGAGGGTTGAGAATCGCGGACTGTCGGTCCAGACTAATCACCACGGTGACAAACGCACAGGAGTACATGGCCTGCAGTTTGAGGAACATCAAGAATCTGCAGGCCAGATCGCCGGCCAGCCACTGCACCGTGATGTTCCACACGGCGTCCACCGGCATCACGATGAAGGTGACCAGGAGGTCGGCGACGGTCAGGTTGATTATCAGGACCCTGACATGGGACTGGCGCTTGTGACCACTGGCTGCCCACAGCACAGCAGAGTTACAGAAGGTGGAGATGCCACAGAGGATGAAGGTGACGATGACTCTGACTTTGGCGGCTGTGGAAAAGGTGGGCAGCAGCGGTCCGCCGTCCGCCGAGGTCCAGTTAGAGCTGACGTTGAGAGCCAATCCATGGAAGGCTGGGGGTTCACAGCAGGAGGAGGTGTTCATTTTCACAGCCTCACGGTTGAGTCAGCATCTTGTGAAAATATAAGGACTCTGGTGGAGCACAGAGACAAAGACAGTGTTGGCGCAGGAGTGAAAATACATTTCTGCAATGAACGAGGAGAAATCATACTTGGTTCTCTGGTGACTGAAGTGACAGTCAGAAGGAGAGAACAGTGTTCTGTATCATCACCAGCAACAAACTGTACCATGTGCACAGGTTAGTTCAAGGTGACTGTGGGAGAAGAGACCTGGCAACGTGACAGTCAACTTTAACTTTAACTTTAACTCATTTCTATAGCACTTTTCATACAACCACCACACACAGACACGACCTTGATGACTCACTCACTCAAGCGACAAACATGCGATTATTTAAAGGCAATAAGGTATGGACACTGAGGAACCGAGTGAGGAAAGCTTCATCGGGGAACCATCCACACCAGGACGTTTTGCCGACCGCATCCACGAGGGTTTGCCGTCCCAAGGACAAACCCGACCAGGACAGAAGCGAGATGCCACCGTGCGGCACTCCATCAGGCTCCTCCCCAAGAAGAGAGGAAAACAAATACATTCCATAATCTTATTAACGAAACAGAGATAAGAGGTTAAAAAGATTAAGAATGAATAAGCTGAAATTGATTAGAAGCAGGTTAAAAAAGCTGGGTTTTGAGCCTGCCGTTAAAAACATCGACAGTCTCTGGCGTTTCCCGTTCCACAGGCGTGGGTCATAGAAAAAAAAAGATGCCTCACTTTTGGAATGATTAGTAGGCTAAAGGTGGAGGACCTCAGGGCCCACGGGGGTCGGTATCGTAAAAGCAGATCCGACAAATAAGTGGGCCCAAGACCGTTAAGACACTTAAAGACTAATAAAAGAATCTTAAAATGGATCTTGAAACACACGGGGAGCCAATGCAGTGATTTTAAAACCGGTGTGATGTGCTCCTGCCTCCCGGTCTTTGTCAGCACCCGTGCGGCAGAGTTTTGGAGTATAGCTGTAGAGCTGAGACCGGTCAACAGGGGGAGTATAACAGACTCTGACACCAGAGATAAAAGCTGACCTGTTATGGCTTTCATCAAAACAGTTTGGACTTCTTTTGTCCTCATCCTCTCCGCGGTGGGACATTTTCAAAGAAAATCTTTTTGATGTAAGTGCCTTTCACTGTCCACATGTCACAGTAAAATTACAAAGTGTGAAGCTGAAGTGGCGTGACGACTCCCTGGTCTCCAGTTCAGAGTCAATTAGAGGAACGGAGGCAGTTCTCACAAAACTGCTGGTGCTGTGAAGTGAAGCAATCAGCGGTTCTCAGGTGAGTCTATTCTCAGCAGGAGCTCTCCTGTGATTAGCTGGTTTACCTGCTCTGCTGAAAAGTCCTTGACGATAACATACCAGAATGTCATCGAATCTGAAGGAGTGGTTTGAAAATGTAGTCCTTCTTATGTCAAGGATTTTTGGTCAGTGACCAGATCAGAGTTCAGTTTCTGACCTGCAGCTTCAACCTCACTTTATCCACTGTTGTACTTGTTAATATTGTAGATTTCTACCATTATAATTAATGTTATAATTAAATTAAATTATTAAATATGAATTAAATAGTTTAATACAATTAAAAGTTTACATTTTGAAATTGATGTTTTAAAAAAAAATCATACGAACTGCAAGGATAAAATAATAATAATAATAATAATTCCAGTACATCACAGTGTAATTTAACATGACGTTACTGTCCACATGCAGAAGAGAAAACAAATGTTCACAGCAGACTTACGTCCTCACATGTCCACCAGCGTCTCATTGTCCAGCTCAGACGGAGACGGCCGATCCGGGCTGCAGTTCCATCTCTTCTCCTCTGCTCAGTGCAGCAGCACCGACCGACACCGTCTTCTGTCTCCTCTCTCACTTTTACTTCAGTGTACATCAGCAGTTGAGTGGGCGGGGCTTTAAGGAGCATCACATCATTCGAATCCGTTCATCCGGATTAAAAGGCAGTGAGCCTCCATCTCTGTGGCTGTCAACGTCCTTACAAATCCACTACGGAGGGAAAAACAATCTTTAAATTGTGACTTCAAGCAAATTAAATAATATTCAGAGAGAAACCGTAGAGTAAAACATATTTTATAAACATGAATATTTCATATGAAATAAAATGAAAATGGTGTTTATATTCATTATTTATAGACGCTCCTGTTGAGTGTAAAAAAAATACAAAAAAATTTTTATAAAAGGACATCACGACTTCACCATGGACATGGGGTTTGTCAAGATCAGTCCATCAGAATTTTAATAGCCCTGCTTAAAAAAAAGTTTCCCAAGTGGCTCAAAGGTTGGCTCCTTCTCAGCTTTGGCCCCTCAGGCAGTTTTCAGCCACTACTCACAGCTCAATATATCAAAGACACAAAATTTGAATTATGTAAAAAAAAAAAAATCTTCCTTAGGATTATTTTAAGAATAACTTTGTACATACTTTATCAGCGAGCTCCGTTTCCATAGGAGCTGCCTCTTTTATTGGAGACTAATTTGCTCCTTTTTTTTCTCTTCCTTCCTTTCAGTTTCATACATGTGAGTCAAATCTGCCTATTCAGAAATAACTCCATCACTGCACCACCGGTTGTATAAGCTGCAGCTCAAAGCGTTTCACCCCGTCTTTGTGTCATTTCCATCTGCCGTACACAGAATTATCAACACTTTAAATGATCACTACTGCAGCGCGTCGCTGTAATGACAATACCGCAGGGACTCAACTCTAAAGCAGTGAGATATGGAGGGAAATTAATTGACTGAAATGACAACTGCTTTAGTTGTGCAAGCTGAAGAAGCTGCAGGTTATAGAACAAACTGTACTTTGTAGACGAGGCCTTCGGAAAGTCACGCCGTCTTTGCTGAAGTACCTGAACTACACTCACATGTTTCGCCAAAACTTCTCCTCCTGACTGTGAGATGAACCCACGAGAGCAGAGCAGGAAACATGACACAATCTCCCTGCCTCATAATCCTCAGCTCAGCTGCTTCACCTGAAACAATAAACACTGTGTAAGTCTTTTCAAAGCAGTAAAAATGGAACCCTACAGCAAGTGTGTGTTTGGTCCGAGTGTCAGGAATGGAAACACGACATTAAAAGGATCCTTGTCATCAAGACGTTTCGCCTCTCATCCAAAAAAAAAAAAAAAAGTGTCCATGGGCCCGAAGACAATATAAATGGTCATATGAGTCATGTTTATGAAGATTCTCAGTCAGCCTAGAAACGTTTGAGAACATTTCACATGTCATGTGAGTCGTTACCCTGTCCACCGGGTAGGGTTTGTTGGTGGGGGTNGTCATGTGAGTCGTTAGCCCCATGGGGGATTGTTCCCCCTCCTCTGTCCCTGTCCACTGGGTGGGGTTTGTTGGTGTTTTTTTTGTTTTTTTTTGGGGGGGGGGGGTTGTCACCATAAATACCTGAAACTCCCCACCAGGACAGTAGAACTGATGAAGCCTCTTCCAGTTGCCTACTTTTAAAACAGTTTTTGAGGTTGTGGAAAGTTTAAAATCAACAGCCCTGTTTATCATTAACCACATCACAAAGTCGAGAACAGTTTGTCGTACGTGTCATCGTTTGACCTGCGGGCTACATCGTTCCCGTCTCCTCACTAAATAGCGGTGGATTATCACACATATGCGAATGTGAGGGAGCAGCTGCTGAGCTGAGTGCCGTGTGTTGGATCATGCAAACGTTTGACTCCTATATGGACTACAACCAGGCGCTGACCTTCAGATGAATCAATCAGATTAGATCCCATATCAGGTTAATCCATAGTCTAATCCATACGGTACTTTCTAACCGTCTCTATGACCCAGACCCAGGCAATGTCCGTGTGGAGAGATCACCATCACCAGGCTGGTTCCTGGAAAGTTTATTGAAGTTGAGTATGAATGATTGTGATAAGGAATAATCTTTTATAGAAGCAGGACGAGGTTCCCAGGACATCCAGTGTTATTGACAGCGCTGGAAATAAAATAAATAAATAAATAAATACTTTGCAGAAAAACAATTTTAAGGGTAAGAAATATTGGAATTGAAGTGAACAAAGAGGACCTGGCCTCTGACCCTCTGCTGCTGATGGCCGGTTCGGGAAGTGAAACAGGTAAATAAATAAAATGACTCATTCTTTTCTTGAAGCCAGGAGAAGGATGATTGGTGCCATCTTATTCCCATTTCTGGTACAACAGCAGTTTGGTATTTATGAGGGCATCGGTACAAAGGCTGTATCTATGCATCATCGTCAAACAAAAAACAAACAAAAAAATAGAAATAATGTAATTCATCATTGTGAATTGTGCTCAAAGTGAACACCCTGATGTATAGATACTGGACAGACAACATGTGTCGTAGAGACACAGAGATGGTAGTTTAGACCATCTTTTTTGAGCCACGGCACATATACATCATCAGGAAAAAAAACACGAAAAAATATAAATGTAATGAAATAATAATAATCTTCTAGTTTAAATGACCTCATAACTGACTAAAATCTCGGCCTGTTTAGTTGAAGACAACGCTGATATACTGGCAGGAATTGAAGAAAGACACTCACAAAGATCTTGTTCAACAGCTCTGATTATCTTTTTTTTTTTTTGTTTTAAAACCGATCTGCTGCCACCTAGCAGAAGAGGATTTAATAGTTCTGCCTTTTAATTATATGCAATAATTAAATCATAGTTTTCAGCCCAGCTGGAAACCACTGGAAAAATTATCTGATGTCACTGAGATAATTAAATCATAGTTTTCAGCCCAGCTCAGTGGCATCAGATAATTTTTCCAGTGGTTGGGAATCACTGGTTTAGCCAACAGGTAGGAATAACCACATACACTCTTAATGAAGTTGTTTTGTAGTTATAATATTCTCATGATCCGTTGCCAATTTTCTCATCTGTGAACTGTGAGCCTACTGTGGTTACTCCAACAAACAGTAACTATTATAAAGCCATTATTGAACTAACCACAGTAATTAAGTCCGGAAAAAAGGTAAGGACTCTGATTCTGAAATGCTTCATTAGGAAAATGTGGACAGACGTGGGTGAAGCACATGAATCTCAGCTGATGCATCAACCTTAATTTCTGGAATCAAAGCAGTTGTTTTGAATGAATCGTCTCCTGTTTTCATTCATTCGAGTCCAGAATGAGATTAAAGACATTTCAAACTGGCGAATATCGAGTTGCTGTAAATTAATACTGTCTCCTTACAGACAAGCAGTTACAGACAACAGACAACAGTTTGTCAACATGTAGACGGTGATTAGAATCAAAGTTCCTAAAGGGGACGTATGCAACTTGATTCATATGAATATGGTTCCTTGATGTTTGAATCAAACACGTTTCAGTAAAAAAAAAAAAAGTAGTATTGAGCACAGCTGGTTTCAATTCTCTGGTTTCTGCCAATAGACCAAAAACATGCAGATTAATGATCAGGTTTTCTGGTCATGCTAAGAGTGTGTATGATTCTTTGTATCTCTTTGTATGTTAGAATGAGAATTTGCTCATATTTCTTTTTTTTCTTTTTTTTAGTTTGGCAGACTTTTTTTTTTTTTTTTAGTTTGGCAGAACAGGCTTCACATTCGCAGCAGTAAGAAGCAGAGAATGTTTTGAGAGAAAATATCACTGCTGGGTTTTTTTTTTTAACCCTCCATTTACTTCCACGACACCTAGAGCAAGGTCAGCACAGAGTCTATACTTTTACCTCACGTCTGCCACCGACGGTGACATACACCGAGGTCTGATTGTGTATTCTGTCTGACGACGCTGCAGACGGAGAAGCAGAGCCAAATGTTAACCCCCGGGTCGACCTCATGGCAGTCTGAGCTGTAATTAAACTCTGGCAGGCAGTGAAGGGGACAAGTTCAGCAGATTCTTTTTTTCCCCATTCGCCAATGGACTAAGTGATAACCAGAGAGCATGGTTGTGATGTAAGCGACTGCAATTAAAAAAAGAAAGAAAGAAAAAGAAGCAAAATGTACTCTTCAAGTTTCTAATAATCAGACAATCAAGGTACAATTTTACCTTGAATAAGTATTTTAAGGCAAATGAGTGCATTTTTAGTCATTTTTGAGAAACTTTTTTTTTCGGAGATTTGTTCCGGAAATTATTGGTATAGTATATCACTGTCATCCAAAGTTGGCGTACCAAAAAAGTCTATTTTTTCTGAATTTTAACAACAGAAATGGACATAGCTAAGTATTTTAAGGCAAATGAGTGCATTTTTAGTCATTTTTGAGAAACTTTTTTTTTCGGAGATTTGTTCCGGAAATTATTGGTATAGTATATCACTGTCATCCAAAGTTGGCGTACCAAAAAAGTCTATTTTTTCTGAATTTTAACAACAGAAATGGACATAGCTAAGTATTTTAAGACAAATGAGTGCATTTTTAGTCATTTTTGAGAAACTTTTTTTTTCGGAGATTTGTTCCGGAAATTATTGGTATAGTATTTCACTGTCATCAAAAGTTGTCGTAGCAAAAAAGTCTATTTTTTCTAAATTTTAACAACAGAAATGGACATAGCTAAGTATTCTAAGGCAAATTAGTGCATTTTTAGTCATTTTTGAGAAAAAAAAAATTCCGGAGATTTCTTCGGGAAATTATTGGTATATTATTTCACTGTCATCAAAAGTTGACGTACCAAAAAAGTCTATTTTTTCTGAATTTTAACAACAGAAATGGACATAGCTAAGTACAGTATGTCATTATGTTTACATGCAAATTCAGACCAGCGTCAGGTTTCTTCATTTTCTGTGCAATAATTGCCAATGTTCTTTTGCCTGAGTACGGTTTTTGTCCTATTATGTGTAATTGTCTTTTTAATGACGCCTTAATGTGCAAACCATTAGTCTGAGGACTCTAGACTTTGTCTTTATTCCCCAAGGGGGACTTTCTGTTACAGCAAACAAAAACAACAATTAAAAAAAAAAAAAAGGAAAAGATGAAAATATACACACAAAGGTGGAATACAGTGATAGATTTTACAAATCCAATCATAATTTACTGATGATTTTATGATGTGGAAGAAAAAAAAAAGAATGATAGTGGAAGTTATTATGTAAGTACTTTGAAATATGTATATTTGTATAAATATATATTTAGATAATATAATATATATACATTCAAATGCTTATGATTAATCAGAGGCTTTAGATTAATCATGAATAATCAACATTCCTAAATCTGTCAAAGCTTTTTTTCTGTATAATATTGGGACATAAAAACAGCAGGTAAATGTTTGCGTTCCACATCTTTTTCTTCTTGAATAATTTAAAAGATGGAATTATAAATATGCAAAACCACAACTCAGAATTGAGCTCCATAAAAGCCAGGCTTGATGACTCCACAAACACATACTAGGTCAGGGGTCACCAACGAGGCCCACGTGGACTACCTAAGGTGCCCACGGGCTATGTTCTGAAAATAGAACTAGTCGACAAGAGGGTCAAAAACTTTACCGTTTCTGTGCTTTTTTTAATCAGTTACACTTTCAATGATATTCAAATGGGTGAAATGTCGAGTGTCCACTATTGTCTGTCCCAGCACCTTTTATTATTACGTTGTTCATGAAGTCTGTATCAAACGAGTAGCTCTTTTTATTACTAAGTGACCCTGAAGTAGCTCTCAGTTTCAGAAAGGTCGGTGACCCCTGTACCAGGTGGTATTTTAAACCTGAGGTGTTTCAGTGGCTGGACAGTGGAATTATTGGATATACAGTGTGGGTCCATCAGTAAAGTTTTTTAATTAGATTAATTAAGTGAACATTTATATTGATTGAACTTTGGTGGTTCTCTCTCTTTAGTTGTAGTAATCACCTGTAGATCACATGTGGAGTTCTCCACATGTGATCTCTGGGGAATAGAACGCTCTTCTACCAATTATGCAAATTAGTGACAAAGCAGAGAGAATAATTGTGGCATTTTTTCATCACCGTGAGTTCCAGCACAGGCGTCTCAGGGCAGTAAGAAATAATAAGGTCAGGGAGATGAAACAATGTTTTGTTTTGCTGCAGGCAACGGTTGTCGCAGTCAGTGGGTGTTCCTGTTACGTTGGAAATGATGACTATGATGGAACGGGCGACGGCAACTCCTAATGAATACACGATGAGGGAGAGTTTACATAAATAATAATGTAGTTATTGATATTTCACACAGAATAAAGTCACTTTGGTGCAGGTTTTGTGTTCAAATTCACTGCCGTTTAAAGGTGTTTTTTTTGTTTTACTTTTTGCTTTGTATTTGTCCACGACATATTATTATAACAACGAGGTTTTCTATTTGAGTTTCGGCTTAGAATTACAGCAACCAAACAGCCAATATTTGTAGCATTTTTTACCAGCACCAGTTAAAGCTGCGGTGCTTATATTCCAGTGATGTTTATTGTTCTCCATCTTATTCTTTTTTTTTTAGCTCTCTTTGGTTTTCATGAATATGAATAATGCAACAATATTATGCACCCTTCATGTCAATCCAGCCTCTGTCAAACATTGCAATCATACATGATGGATGGAATATTTGTGTTTGTACAGGAGTGTCGGGGGGAGGGGCACGAATCAACAGCTGCGTGACAGAACATCCTGCGGTGAAGTACGGAATAACAATATTTTTGGAAAGTGATGCTGTGATGTTTGGTGATAACGTACCTTTTTGTGATTTTTGAATCA